CTCTAAGACAATGGGGACCAAAAGCTGTTGAGCATTTCTTAATAGAGCATTTCTGTTGAGCTCTGACATGGGTGAGCAGGTCTCCATCCAGCTTCTGATGGAGGGAAAAGCGTCTACCTAGCAGAAACTGACTGTTGCCCTGCTGGTCATCTGGGCAGAGAGACTAGGGGCTGGACAGGGAATGTACAGTAGCTCTGTTCTGGCATTGGTCACTCCAGATCCCTGAGACATTGGCAGCACGTGGGGAACCTGGCCCCATTGTGCCCATCCTGCAGCTAAAGGAGAGTTCCATTTCTTATCACTGCCCCTCTCTTCCCCATGCGGGCTGGCCGGCCCTTGCTTTAAAGCCCAGAATGCTCTCTGAATTGAGATACTGGCTAGAGGGAAGAGGGTCAATCCTGCCTGATGCTCTCTAACCCAACCCTTCCCTTCCCTTCCCAGGGGGGAGGAAAACAGCAGCACCTCGGACTTGGACTCCACAGAGTTCGCCAGCATCGTGTGACACCGGCTCCCTTCCATCCACAGTTTAGACACTGGGCGGCTTCTGCAACTGGATGGGATTGCTACTGGGCAACTCTGTTACCCAGGACCCCTGGAGGTGCTGGTGATGTGCTAGGTGGGGCCGTGTGGTGAATGTTACATGGGATCTGTGGGTAGTTGTCTTGTGCCTTCCATGGGATCCATAGTGTTCTGGTAGCATACATTCCACGGGATCTACTCAGTGCTATACTAATGTGCCTCTATCGAACAACACCAGCCTGGCCCTGGCAGTGCTGTGTGCAGAGCACAGTAGCCGGGCTAGGAAGCTATTGCTCATAACATGCAAGAGACTTGTGCATACTGTCTGCCTCTCACGCCAATTTGCCTGGTCCTGCAGACTCTAAATACAGCACAGACCCTTGGAGTACTGTCTCTGGATCACTCGTGGACCCATGTGGTGCTGGTAGTGTACATTACACTGTCAATGTGAATAAGCTGAAGGGTAATGCACCTGTATTGTCTGTAAAAGGCGGACACTAACGTAGAAAGAGATGTGAGGGTTTTTATAAAGTCTAATTAACTTAATGATGTTGTAAATAAAACCCTATTTGTATATGTATGGAAACCAAAGGAGAACTATTAATATTAATTTCCATAACGGTTGGGCAATGGCCCTCGGAGTGGTACAGTGGGGTTTTTTCCTCTCCCTCTAGGGGCTGTCATCCTTGCAAGAATAAAAGGGCCAAGCTAGCTGAGCATCTGAGCAGGCCGGCCCTACTTCACCATGCAGGACACCTGTCGGCAGCCTTTCTGTCTAGATGGAAGGCTGACTTCAGGGCAGAAATGACTGGACTGGAGGAAGGCCCAGTTCCCTCCCCCTGGAACTGGAATTCTTTAGCTTCCCAGCTCCACAGCCATGAGTTCCTGTCCTCCCTCAAGTCAGCCGAGTAGGATTGACTCCTCTCACAGATCCAAGGCACTGGAATGCCTTAATCCCTGGCACTTTGAATGTGCTGCACAGGCACTTAACCCTCTGCTTCCTCTCTACTCAATGCCCACGCAGAAGGAACCTAACAAAGCTCCCATTCTTTTCTTCTAAAAATCAGTTGGGCTGGGGGAGAGAAATGAATAAAACAATTAGTTGCAGAGATTCTTAACATGGGCCTGGAAAAGGGAGAGGTGGCTGGGGACCCAAAAAAAAGCCAAGGCCACTTTTCTGTGGTACTTAATATGTAGCCAGGCAAAGGCTGTGTAAAGATTGTAATCCTTGCTAGAACCCCCAACAACAGGTGAGATGTATGCACCCTTGGTTTGGAGAGGGGAAAGTAATGGGCCAGGGAGGGGGTCCCTACCTCTCCCACAGCCATGTGGCAGGATCTGAACGAACACCAATACAGCTGGTCTTGATAAGGAAGCAGGGAAAAGCTGGGTAAAGTTCAGTCAAGGGTAACAAATGTGATGCAGCAGCTAATACGGGGGGGCAGGAGACAGTATTTAGCAGGGGGGCTAATGCCTGCAGTGCAAGTGGGAATGGACACCACAGAGGGAGGCTGAATTTCTTGCTACTCCATAACCAGGGCATGCTGCAAGAGTTCTTTAGGGCAGGGATGGTGTTGGCTTTATATAAAGGGCTGTGCATGTTTCTGGCACTGAATGAATTGTGCGCAGATGGCAAAAAATGGCAGAGTGACTTCTGGGGGATCTGAGTGGTAGGAAGGGGTAAATGACTCCTGCAGTCAAATATAGAACAAAGTAAAGCGCTGTGGAGAGGGGTGGGTTTACAAATAGAAAAGGGATTATTTTCAGTAGGAATGCTCGACAGGCTCTGTGTAGGCCAAGAATGCAGGCAAGTGAAAACGAACCATGGAGCTAAATGAAGCAGGGGCTTTTCTGTCAAGGGGCAGTGACAAGGCCATGCCTCTGGACACAGAGGGGCTGATCAGATGACATCCACTGAGGGTCTGGGGCTGAGTAAGGTAACAGCTGAGGCAGCACTGTGTACAATTCCAGATCCAGGCTGGGTGGCAGTGCTGGGGAACTGCCTTGTTTTGCAGCCAGAGGATGAGAAGCGCCTTATGGCTACTAACTGAAACTGGACTTTACAATTCATTAGAAGAGAGCTTTTTGTGAGTGACAAGCGGAGCTGGAGATGCGTCTGCTCTGAGGGCAAGGGGGGGGGGATGTCAGAAAGGGCTGGGCTGTGAGGGACTCAGGAGACAGACCATTAGGCCCTACTGAATGACTGTGAGCAATAGCTATCAAAGGCAGCCTTAGAAATGGCCTTGGGGCCTGGAAGAACAATGCTGACCAAGGCAGCCAGGCAATTCTCTGGCTTGGAGTTTATCTTCAGGGGCTGGGAGGACCCCTGAGCTCTTGGCCCTCCCCAGGCATGGATGAGGTAGGATTTGCTCCCAGTCCCAGGCTGTCCCTGTAACAAGTGGCTGTTTTCTCACTCCACTCTGAACCTAGGGGAAAGCACAGATTCCTTTGCACCCCTACTTTGTAGTTCTCATGCTTCTCTTGGCCCAGGGAGTTATTCGCTGCACTAAGATGTCAAACAAAAGCTTTTCCCCCTCCTCAGCACTTCCCCTCATGCACACTCCACCCAGTTTCCTTACTTACATTCTTCCAACACCTGCCAGCCAAGCCATGGCTCCCAGGGTAAAAGAACAAGCATTCAACTATGCCTGAGTTTACATCCAATGTACTGTTAAGAAAGCCTAGTGTGGCTGTATCTGCTTAACCCACCTCTGGGGGTCTCACGTGGCACATAACAGGTGCAATGTTCCCTCTAATTTTTTTTCATTCATGTGTAGAATAATTTTATGGGCACTGAGCATGTGTGGATGTGCACCACTAGTAGAAACACTGCCAGCTATGGATGCTCTGCTAATCAGCCAGGCCGCACCGGGATCTCTCCTGGGTGGCTGCCCAAGGCATAGCTTACAGGGAGCAATGCAGAGGTGGTGCCTCAAAACACCAGTGGGGCAATAAAAGAATTAATCTGAAATTCTTCTTCCTTAAAAGCAATAGGCTGACAGGGTTCATGGTAACAGGCATTTCCCTGCCCAAGCCTCTGTGTGCCACCCTAGAGTGGCTGGGATGGGCAGAGAGAGCACGAGCAGGATGTTTGGAGAGGGGGGACAAATAAATATAGTGGCACTCTGGGACTGGCCCTAGAGAGCCCTTTCCTTTATCTCAAGTGTGAAGCCAGCGAGATGTTTGTTCTCTTTACTCATGTGTAATGTATTAATGGAGGAACCCAAAGCACCACAGCTAGGCTGTACATTCTTTCCTCAACCACTCCAGCACTTCTTTGCACTAAATTAGTTAGGGATCACTTCACCCAGCACTGACTTGCAACCATATCTGGGGTGGTTTTCATAGACCGTGACTGATGGAAAGACATCAAAACCAGTGGTGGGCAACTTGTGGCGCACTGCAGCCCACTCACCCCTATATCTTCCCCTTCCCCACACACCTTTCATGTACTGGTGCCCGGCAATTCCTCCTCCTCCTTTCTCCCAGCATTTTTGGAGGGCCATGAATCTGCTAATTCGTGCTCATCATCCCACTCCTCCCCCCTGCTTCCAGCTGATTTGTGCTATTCCAGCTCTGGACTGAAAGGGGAGAAGCGGCGGTGGAGTGTGAATCAGCAGATTCATGGTGCTCCAAAATTGCTGACAGTGGGAAGAATAGGAAGTGCGGGACTCCTGTACCCCAGTGCACGAGAGGTTTGGAAGAAGGTGGGAGAGAGCAGGTGCACGGGCTGCAAGTTGCCCACCACTGGGTTTCAATCTTGTGGCCCGCTGAGTCAAAGGAGGGTCACTCAAGGGGCCTACTCACTATTCTTGGTTGGCCACTGTGATCAAGGCTCAGGTCTATAATCCAGTTGTCAGCCCTAAGCTCCTCTATGAATATAAAAGCTCTGTGACCTACTGACAGCATCTCACAATTCTGGAAAGGTACAACCACAGATGCCCTGGGAAGACCACCTGCCTATCACCAACATCTCCCTGAAACCAGTGTCACCAGCATGGAAGCAATGATCTTTCCACATCGACTCCACTGAGTGGACATTCTGAGCTTCTCACCTCCCAAAACAAGCCCTCTATTCTCAGCTCCAGCAGAGTCAGAGATCCCGTGGTAGTCAGAGAAAATGCTACAAACACCCACTGAAAGCATATTGCAAGAAAACTGATGTGGATCTCAAAAACAGGAAGGAGCAAGCCACCAGACAACTTCAGTGGTACCACAAGGTCCATCACGCATGGTGGCCTGCTTCAAGGAGAATGCCTTGTGGAAAAGAGAGAGAAGGAAAGAACTTTCTCCCAGCAGCCAATTGCCCTACTGGAAAATACCTGTACCTACTGCAAGCACATCTGTGGTTCCAGGATTGGACTCCTGAGTCATCCTAGGACCTATATGTAAATCCATGATAGAGACTATTCTAAACCGAGGGCTTGCCAATGCTAACAATAGTACACAGCTTTGCCTTGAGCCTTCCAAAATCATGAGCCTGGCTTCAAAATCATGAGATTTAAAAAAAAAATCTCATCCAGTTTTTTTTTTAAATCAGTTTGGGATCCTTTTTCTTTACTTTCTTGTTTCTGAGCCTTTAGAGTCATAGTCAGGCCATGGTTTCAAGCTGCTATCTGCAACAATGAGGTTTAGAAACTTCTTTAAATGAAAGCTGAGCTGCACACAATTGCCTGCCTCTGGGAATGTTAAGAAAAGCACTAAATACCATGAGAACTGGCAACACGGACAAGACGTGAAGGCTGGAGGTGAAGACGACTCTATCTAGTTGAATCTGCAAAGGGGAATGAGATTACAAAAGGGGACAGACAAGAAGTTGAAGCTTGAATAATTATCAAATGGGGAAATGAATTGGAATAGGCCCCCTATGGACACTTGTTTTGGAGTAAGCATGTCTGTCTTATTCATTTAAATTGGTGATTTTCCCCTCTTGCCCCTTCCCCTCTCCACATGGGAGACTAGCCTGTTGGCCCCTCCCCTTCTGCCTGAGGCCCTGCCCCTGGCAAACCAGAACCTGAAAAAGTCCCCCCACACCAGGCCAAGGTGCCAGCCCGATGCCAGTTGAACCTCGCTGGCCACCTGCTGACTTGCCATGTCCCTCCTCACTCTCCCACCCAAGAAGAGTTGCACATGTCTGGTATTTTCTGGATTTTTTTTTACTGAGCAGAGAGCCCAAAAACCATACTGTCTGGTAGAAAACCGGACACCTGGCAACCCTATCTGTCACAAAAGCCCAGGAGTCCTAGGCCACGGTGGCTCTGCTGCTCCACCCTCCCTCCCTCTGGAAGTCCCTGCTACTCACTGGCTACGTCTAGATTGGCATGATTTTCCGGAAATGCTTTTAACAGAAAAGTTTTCCGTTAAAAGCATTTTCGGAACAGAGCATCTAGATTGGCACGGATGCTTTTCCGCAAAAACCCTTTTTGCGGAAAAGCATCCGTGCCAATCTAGATGCTCTGTTCCGAAAATGCTTTTAACGGAAAACTTTTCTGTTAAAAGCATTTCCGGAAAATCATGCCAATCTAGACGTAGCCAGTGAGTAGCAGGGACTTCCAGAGGGAGGGAGGGTGGAGCAGCAGA